TCATATTTTTGTAAACATGCCCGAGCTTTCGTTATCATACATTTTGAACAATCCAAGGAATCTTTAGCAACTAACTGCATCTCGGGGTGCGGAATCGCTTTTAACATTGCATCATTTAACTGCATACACATATTTCTAGTCGGTAGTAAACAAACAGTATCTTCTGGTAAGTCCCTCAAACATTGTGCTATTTCCATTAACCTTCCTTTATTGGAATGCGAGAGCAGAGGTATCAATCGGTTAGACAGTATATCTCTGTCTGATTGAGTTGTCACTCCTACTCTGATTCTTTTTAAAATTTCTACAAATGTAGAATCATCCAGCTGTCTCATATTCAACGTAAGTTCGTCGTAAGTAAAAAGTTCAGCCCATAAGTTTGGAATACTTAAGGAGCCTATAAGTTTATTAATTTCTGAAGGGGTTAGTTTTTCAAATGGCGACTTTTCTCTAACGGGTGGAAGTTGCAAAAGATCCCCAAGCACTAAAATATGTTTTTTTCCAAACCAACCATCTTCTACATCAGAAGTATCAAACACTTCGCATAAACGAAGATTTATGTAGGCTAAAGTTACATTAGATATCATAGACACTTCATCTATAATAAATAATTCGACAGTTTTTAAGTCTGTCCTTAAAACTTGAAGTACTTCGTCTGAAAGCGGTTTGTATTTAGGAGTTTGTTTATGCTCTACGGGCAGTTGTAGTAATCTGTGAACAGTTAATCCGTTTACGTTAAATGCTGCAATTCCAGTCGAGGCAGTAATAGCAACATTTTTATGCAGGTTGTTTTTAATCCATATTTTTAAGGTTTTTATTAAATAGCTCTTGCCGGTGCCACCGGTGCCACTAACAAAATGTCGCAATATTTCTTTTTTGTTCGTAATTTTATTAGTGACTGTATCAAATACTTTCTTTTGATCAGAATTCAGTTTATCTATCATTGCTTGCTCATTCATTTCAGAAATATCCGCTTCAACTAAATCAAAGTTGTTTAAATCTTCCATAGCATTTACCGCTTCCAAAGCTTCAAACACTAAAGGATTGTCGGGGCCTTCATCTACTATGTTTTCTCTTTCTTCGTTTAGTTCTGCTACTTTTTCTTCTACCTTTTCAAAAGCTGTTTGTAAAATATTTCGTAATTCAGTCCGTAAATTTCCGTAGCGTAACGCTTCTTGTAAATCGTCCTTTACAGCATTAAATGTTTCTGTGTATGTCTCATGTTGCATTTTTAGGTCATCTAGTACTCTCCAAGGTTTAAATAATAACAACAAGGAAAAGAAATATTTTTCTGGCATTTGCTCTACATCATACAGGTAATGGTTAATTAGGTATGGTCTATCTCGTTTTTTAAGTATTTTTTATTTGCTAAAACATAATACTCTACTTTATTTGAAACAGGCCGTGTATTAACTAAATCATAGTCTTTCGAAAAGTCAAATAGATTCATGTCTTGTAATTCGTCAGGTCTGGCAGGGTAAACGTTGTCTATCCAAGAATCGTAATATATGCCAGTGGAATTCGGGTCCAGTCCAGTCATTTCAGATTTCGATTTAACCCTGCGATTACGATGAATGTTTACGTCTAACCATCTTATTGTTGTTTGTGGGTCCGTGCCGTAAAGTGGTATTCCCAATAATGTATCGCTGGCTTCTAAAGCTCCGCATTCTCGATTCGCTAATACTCTGAGACCAATATTATATAACCGGCTTCTAAGACTTTTTGTAGAGTTAATATCGTTAAACATGTCGGTTGCATGGGTCTTTTCACTTTTAGTAGTATACTTGGTCACATAATAGTTCAAAATGGCTGTTTTCTCTCCAACATATTGAATGTCAATATTTCCATTCCACGCCAACAGCAAAGCGTGATTGTAGTCATTAATCATATCTGACTCCTTCGAGCGGACAATATTGTAGAGCCGATTATTAGAGCTGAGAGTTTTTCTTGCCGCTATAGATTGAAAAATGTCTCTTATGATAAGAGAATCCGTCACAGTTCGAGGAAATCCAAAACGGCAAACTGAAACGAATCCTTTTTTCGTTTTCTTTCTCCTCATGCAATAACTGTTATGTTTATGCATTTGATACGAAGTGACCCGTTGATGTAAAGTAGGAGAAATATCTTTTTTTGGAATGGCACATGTCACGTATTTAGAAATAAATGACGCTACCTCGTCTATAGATGACTTATGTAGAATAGGTGCATCCTTAACCCATAATATTAAATGGAAGTGCTGAGCACCCCTAGATTGGTACTCTCGACGCCAAAAGTAATGAATAATCTTACCTAAAGGCTCATCTGAACTAGTTATTAAGTCTAACATTGCATGAAACTTGTTATCTATAATGCGTGAGGTAGATACGGGGTCAAGAGCAACCAATTCACTGATTGTTTTATTAGCCATTTTAACGCCATGTACTCTCCCAAATCCTCCCACATCCACTCAGAGGGACTCATGGTAAGAAACCAAGTTGCTGGACCGTAATTTTGAGTCATACAATTTACATCGTTTCTTGGTTTCTTCCAGAACTGTTCGGTGTTTCTCAGGCGACCAAATATTGCGGTCAAATCACCTTCCAGCTCATCATTTTTAAGCATTTGGAGATACCGTTCTACCGTAATTTTATCTCTCTGATTAGCACAATTCATTTTATAAAAGATTCCGGAGTTTAATTGGCGCATATTAGCATCATTCAATAAGAAAAATAGATACTGTTGGTTGAGTCTAAATTGAGGATGTTTTGACATAAGCCGGGCTTTAATAAATTCACTAGAAGTTACTTTCTGCTGCCGATTATGAAATTGGCCGTATTTTCCTTCTACATATAAATGTGGAAAACATTTAACGTCGAGGTCTTTATCTCGGGCATCAATCGGTGCTGTGTTTACTTTGAGCATTTGGTAGAGTTCTGAAGCTGGTGCATTTTGTCTCCGTTCATTCAAAGGATATATGGTGTAATGCTCATAATCAGTTTCCTTTTCTCTTGTGATTTGGGTCAACAGTGCTGCTGTACCATCTTCTAAAATGCCTTCTTCAGTATTATCTGGTGTATTTGTAACATTATGTTGAATATTTTCATGTATGTTTATGAGCTGGTTAGGTAAATCTGTTAATTTGATATAAGCATAATGTTCGTTTACATTTTTGAGGTATTGTAATGCTTTGTACACTTTATTAACGTCAACAATGTCTTGCCATATAATATTTGCTTTGTTTGGCGTACTTCGGACTATAATATAAAGTTCTGGGTTTTCAATTATTGCGTCTTCAGGTTTTGGGAGTTTTTTTAGGGTTTCTTCCATCGGAAGTGGTAAATGAAAAGTCCTGCCCTTTACTTTTTTAACCATCTGACGATTGGGTAGACGTTTATTAGCCACAGGATTCATTGTAACAACCACCTGAAACGCTTTAGCGCGTTGGATTAAAATGTTTTCATAGTCGTTCAGCTGAGCTATTTCTGGTGGAACAGTGCTTACGTGCATGTCATTGAGGATACAGACAGCAGGCATTTGGTTAGCACGAATCTTAGCAAGGCATGTGTGGCATATGTACGGACTGTGAGTTATTAGGCTAGAATTATAGTAGTTCAGGAGCTGTTTCCAAACATCTGTTGATATGGGCTTTCTTAATCGTTCTATGGAACTAATATCCCTAGAATAACAAAGTTTATTGCACGACATACAATCCAGTTTCGGTGTGTCTACACTTTTTTTAGAAAATAATTTAAAAGCAACCTTATTACTTTTTATTATTTCATCTTCCACGATTTCACTATCAGGTGTACGCTCTACAACGGCACTTCCTACCGTCGGTTGCTTTCCTAGCTCCATAAGCTTATCCACATTACCAGTTGCCAAAGAATTGTCAATATCAAGCAATAACTTACAATCGCTGTGTATTTGATAAATCTCTCTGATAATAGTCCGAAGATGTGGGAAATGCGATTTAACGTTATTAATAAAGTTGACATTTTCTTGCAGTTTTCCTGTTTCTACAGACATCGAGTAAATTTGCGGAGTAGTTTGGAGGCTCAATACTTCGAAAATGTTTTTCAATTTTAGTAAGATTCCATCATTTAATACGCACAATGAATCCGAACAAGACCATGTCAGACTTTTGGACATTTTCTTAATATTTGTAAAGGTTTTTGCTTTGCCAGTATCATCAATCTCAATAGGTTTTTCTTTATCTTCATAAACCTTATAAGCTTGTTCAGAATAAAATGGCTCCTGATTACTGCGATGTTCGGATTTACCAAGAAATGCTTCAAATTTGTCTTTAATATCCGTGCTTTCAGGACATATTTTTAACTTCTCTAATGCCGCTACTATTTTTTCTTTTAATTTATTTGCAGTCTTGTTCAAATCTTCTAAAGTTCTTTGCCTATTATGGAGAGTCCACTTAACTATTTTTTCTGATTCTAATCTATCTTTAAGTTTAGTTGTAAGAACTCTAGTGATTGTTTCTATGTTTCCCTTAAACTTTAGTTTGTCAGTAGATCTCTTTCGCGCTAAGTTTTGTCTGTTTACTTCCGGATGTGAAGCACGGTAGCGAGATACTGCAGCCTGATTGACTTCCGGATGTGAAGCACTGTAGCGTGCTACAGCTGCCCGGTTTACTTCAGGGTGTGAAGCACTGTACTGTGCTACAGATGCCCGGTTGGCGCCTGGATGTAAAGAATTATAAAGTTCTACGGTTTCTCGACGTTTTTCAGGGTGTTTTTGTCGGTAACGAGCCACGGCTTCTCGAAGTTGTTCAGATCGTGACAGTTCGGATACCTTAGGTCTTCCTTTTTTTGTTTTAGTCGGTCTACCGCCTTTTCCCTTATGCTTCATGTTCAATTCACTTTGCGTAGAGTTTAAGTCATATAATGTACATATAGCAGTATCTGATGTTACAAAATTTAATGTTATGGGATGAAAGGGGGAAGAAGATGGAGAGGCATCTCGTATAGGAATGAGTACATCGTAGTGGCCGCTTAAGTAACTACCGGTAAAACTTAAACACTTTTTTTGGCCAGCATCGCCAAAGGAACAGAACCTCTTAGTATACCGTTCTCATACACTTCAAAAGTGAAAGGATAGATTTTTCCAGCAGCCATAAGCTCAGAAGCTGAGCCGTAAGTAGTGGGTTTCATCATATCGCTCATGTAGGATTGCGCGCTAGTGTATACGTCACCATCAGCATCACACGTGTACACTTGCATTTCGTCCCAATGGTCAGCAACGTATGCAACTATAGCAGATCTGATACTGCAAGTTGAGTCAGTTCTACCATACACCAAGAAAGATATTGAATGGAAGAGACAAGACCCTTCTTTGGGCATACCAACTACTTGGTAGCCACTAAGTTCACCGTCGTCTTTTAATATTATCGACATTTTTTTACGATATTATCTTGCGAATCAAATAAACTCAACGACCTTTAGTATATGGACAACAAATCAGAAATACCGATAATATTTAGACTAAAACAATAAAAACCTATATCTTTAAGACTTCTTTTGTCTTAATACAAAAAAGAAAACTCAAAGAAAATATTACTCGGTCTACTCATCTATAAACTATAAACAAAGGGTTAACTCTTAATTATTAGACAAGTGTCAATATAATGAATTATCAATGAACTTTCTACCAAAGATATTACCTCTACCTAGTATTGAAATACAACTAAATTAATGATACTTTTAAACGAAACGAAGTAATATCTAACTAAATAGACTTGACCTATAATACTAGAAAAGTACTTACTTACTATAAGGTTATCACAAAAACAAAACGTCGGCGCGTTTTAAAATACAGTCAGCGCCATCTAGCGACGTGTGCAGGTATCACCGCCACTCTTAGTTCAATGCATTATATTTTGACCATTAAAATACAGTCAGCGCCATCTAGCGACGTGTGCAGGTATCACCGCCACTCTTAGTTCAATGCATTATATTTTGACCAAATTTTGAGCGAAATGAGTATTTTAGTGTAATTTGTTTATTTAATTTGATTAATGTTCGAATAGAATAAAGTTAATAGTTCGATTATTTTTTCTTGTAAACTTGTAAGTATAAGTATAAAAGCCTAGTCTAGTGTCATCCAGAGTTTTCCTTTAATTTTATTTATATGCGTATTAAAAGCAGAAGGGGAGGCATTCGCCCAGCAGTGGGACGCTATAGGCTAGATTAAATTAGAAGATGTGTCCCACTACGCTGGATTTTTGCAATGACAGTAGATTTTTTTATGTACTAATGGTAGAATGGGGCATTACCATATCTCTAATACAGCTGAGACCAGCTGAAGGTTTTTCATCAGATACTTTAGACCTTCGATTTTTGACATCAAATAAAGCGGCCTACCAAGTTAAATATATTTTGCAAGGGCGGTATGTCGATCTCATCTAATAGTTTGGTTGGGCTCTTGTGTTTTCTAATCAGGGTCACCAGGTACTCCAGATCTTCGATTATCCTAGTTTTTATAGTTTTCCCTTTATGTGGCCATTAAACCCTAATTCTGTACCAAATTTCAGCTCTCTGAGTTTATGGGAAGTACTAGTTCTATTCTGATGATCATGAGTGAGTGAGTGTCATAAATGCGAAACTTTGCTTTCGCTTAACTTCGGAACTAAATGACCTACAGACTTGAAATTTTGGATTTTAAGTATGTGATTATAGCTTACTGGATGACGAAAATTTCTGCGTTCTGGTCTTATCCGGAGGTTCTCAAATAGAGGCCTGAAAATGCGGCGAAACGGTTCCAGTAAAGGATGGTACGGCAGTGTTTGCTTCGCGCTCGACTTGGCGGGGGCACTGCCGTGCCCCCCGATAATTTAAACTATACACTTAAACTTATTTAAACTGTGTTAAAACTGAGAATTTGTAATAATCTGTGTTCGCTTCCTTCCGCAAAAACGTAGACAGAGAATAGTTTCTCTGTCTCCGCGCAAAAATAACGAACTAATGAGTCTTAGTGAGTTTATACTCTATGACATTCAGTTGAATATTTAGTTACAGGAGTTTTGGCGGGAACTTGACCGGCGACGGATTACTGCTCCGGTATTATTGTTTAAATAATGGTTTGAAGTAGATTTTGATATATAAAAGTGGTGTGATTTTGTGTATTAAATATCTGCGCATGTGAACTATTAGTGGAAACGGTAAAACAATTGCTCTGATGGTGATGTGATCTGTCTGCTTAGGTGCCTTGAGTTACCATCGCCAACTGTCAGCTGTCTGCTGACTGAAGTTGCGGTCAAAATCTCCCAAGGACTGCACAATGTGACGCATCAATATATTTGTGAAGCAGTGTACTATGAAGGATAGTTATACATTGTAACTTCAGGCTCAGAAGGGCTAGAACCCAGAGCCGTAAAGCCAGTTATTAAAAAAATATTTAGTTACAGTGTTTCTATAATGTGAAGAAATACCCTTTTGAGGGGAGTTTAGACTCCAGAGGTAGTCAAAAAGAGAAAAGAGCAAGAGAGGGAAAATCGTGGGTAAATCATATTATATTAACGGAATGTTACACTATACTTTATTCCAAATGATTTTAACCACCAAATAATATTTTATAATATACAATTGCAAATACAAAATATCTGTACGAAACTCGGCTAGAGTTAGAGGCACTTTATTGACACAATCTCATAGTATTTTCGAAGTACTCGTAAAATATAGCACCGCTAAATACCACGAACCAATCTTAATATAATAAAACAAGCAAAGCAAGCAAAGTCAATAGATGAATGAACCTGGGAGACGTTGTTTTTCCTTTTTCTGTAAGTGACGCAATAAGTTTCACTTATGTGTGAGGCTACGAGGTTACTACGTCAACCGATACAGAATTATTTACGCTGCGGTATATAGATTTTTCACAATATTTTAAATTAACCGTTTTTCGCTTTTTCATAGGCCATGTGATATAATTCATTACCGAATCATAACAAAATACGTGAAAAACAATGTTGTATTTAGATAGTGTATTCTTACACAATACACATGTCATCTTTGTACAATTTCAATTTATGAGGATTACTTTTTTATGCTCGACAAAGTTAGGAAAAGCATACTCTAATTACATCATCATTAATAAAAGTTTGAAAAGCTATAAAAATGGATTACTGCTAAGACCACTGAAAATTAAAAATTAGATAGCAAAAATAATTAAAATTAATGTTTTTTTTAATTAATTACCTTATGTTAGAAGAAAAAATTAAAAAGGCGCCGTATAAAAATTTTACTTTCTCAATTAAAGGCTATTTTATGCTGGTATTCTGTTAGAGCGTGCTTCCTTCGTTGAGAAAACCCATTCGCGTTTCTACTACCTTAATATAGCTGCAGTTTGGCTCTATCACCAATAGAATTTATATTCTGAATATGAGTGTTTTTGGTCCATCCATAAATATTGAATTTGTATGTGTATAACTAGACTACAGTGTCACCTATTGGATCATTTCATAGTTATTAAACAAATAGTGTCGATGAGGAAGAGACCCGAAAAGAGAAAAATTCAATGGGTCACACCAATATGTGCTAATTTGACAATAAAACCAAGATAGCTTTAAAGCTATCTTGGTGACGTGACACCATAATTCGACAGAGCGAACGCGCAGTAGGTACTTGCTAATTTCAGTACTAACGGCGCGCTCGGAAGTAGACAGTCGTTTACCTACATATTATATCGAATGTTAGAGTTAATGTCCGGTTGACTGTATTACATGACATAATACTTATACTAAACCCAATTACTATATAATAATTTTGAACTAATAGTTTATAGAATAATCTAATCTAATATAAATAATCTAACCCCATGTGATCAATATTATTTAAGATGTATAATGTAATATAATAATCTAATCTATTATCATGAATAATGTAATCAATGAACTATTAAAAATATTTGACATTTGTATGCCCATGAGGCTGATCACAGACTGAACTTAATTTGTGTTTAATAAGACCTTTTTGTAACCTGTAAATCACAAATAAACTATTTGATTTGATTTATAAACTAACGTATTGAACATTTAGCTTTTATATGATTATATTTATATGTGTAGTCACGGTGTGTAGTGCTGTAAAAAAAAAGAAATTGGAAGCGGGCTTTGGATAGAGACAGTCAGATAATCTGCCAGATGTGGATATTTTTGTGGCTACGCCGTATTTTTCAGAAAATTATGATTTTTTTATCATCAGAAATGCGTGGAATAAAGCTCCAAAGATAAGTTACAAATAAAAGATTACGAAAAGTATACAGTTTTACCATTGATTAGAAAATAGGTAGTAATACATAGGTAGGTAGTTATTAACTGACCGAACCACGAAGTTGTACATGATTTACAACGACATAAAATTAAAAAAAACTTACTTAAAATTACTAATGCAGGGAGTATTAATCAACTCGTACTGTTACTTAGTACCTAGTGACACATGAAGAAATTTTGTTGGTTATGTAATTCGTCAGTCGTAAACATATGGTCCTAGTTTTAATTTGACTTCCTTTTGAATAAACTCTTTGCGGTATTACGTTGGTAGTTGGTACCTATTCTGTTTTGAAAATGCAATAGTCGCATACATTCAATGCGTTTAATTGACTAAACTGATTACGATGAAATTTTACATAAAGGTATAATATGAACTACAGGATTTTATCTTCTCATATCGGACTTTTATACCCAAGGAGCGTGATATAACAGTAATTTTAAAAAAAACACACACACACACACACAGAAATTGACCACTATATTATATTTTTCGAAAACGGCACTTAAAATCAGTTAATTATATATTATAAAACACGCCGTGTCACAACCGCATGTACAATATAGCAGACTTAGGCCCGCAACATACATACGGAATTCCGTTTCGAAATTCCGAACGGGTCGGCCACACACACACACGGAATCCCGTTTTGCCCGCAAAATTTCGTACGGAAAACGACCGTACGTGTGTGGCGGGTTATAGATTTTATATGGACTTGCTGCGTTCGGGATTCCGAATCGGAATATCGAAACGGAATTCCGTATGTATGTGGCGGGCCTTACACTCTCGCGATGCGGTCAGTTTGCGTTGAGCCAGCAACGATGAATGACGTCTAAATAATAGCGGCATCAACTCTTGCCTTAATAAGTATTTATCGATGTTTGACCATTTTAAAAAGAAGGAAATTAATAAAAATACGTCGTTGAGGAAGAATATGACGGATGATATCTATTCATCGAAACAGAACCTTTTCAGTTTCATAATTTTATATAAATTGCTAGTACATATTGTGCAAGATTAAATAATATTATTTTATTAAAATTTTAATTTTAAAACAAAAGCAATTCGAATGTTATTATGGAAGGGCGCCGTAAACAAACTGAAACGAGACGCGAGTGTAAACAGCACGC